ATTCTCCTCTCAGGATCTTGGGCACGCACGCACACATGCCCGGCGTGCCACCGGGTCCGGGATTCAAACCGCGGTTGACTACGTGGGAGTTCAGTGACATAGCCATTATGCTAACTGCTGGTCCCTCAAAAAAATTTTTTTGAAGAAATTCCCTGAAGGAGGGGGCTTTAAGCCCAGTGGTGGAGATAAACATGTTTTTAAAAATTTTGTTTACAGTGTAATAGTACAATAAAAAGTATTTTCAAAATAGAGCCATTTTCAGTGGGCTCTGTGGGAGTCCACCACCTTAACCATTGCACCACCTGCTGGAAATGATTTGGCCTGGTGGGAGATAGTTGCAGAGCTTAGGGAAGACAAAGAGGTAACAGCTTGTACAGGATTGTAAAGGATAAATAGGAATTGGGGTGAAGATTTGAGGACAGTGAGGTAGTTGGGTGTTAGCCTTTCCTTGAGGGCCTTCAATGAGCCGGATACAGTTTTAGAAACTAGGTTTATAGCACTGAACAAAATAGAAACTCTCAGAGAGCTTACATTCATTCTAGTGAGAAGAGATGGATGAGATACATTTATATCTTACAGTAATGAGTGTAAGAAACCAGTATAGAAAGAAACCAAGGAGCAGCGCGTAATGGCTATGTTGCTGAACTCCCATGTAGGCAACCGCAGTTCGAGTCCCAGACCCTGTGGCTTATGCTCACGCCAGGCGTGTGTGCCCAAGATCCCGAGAGGAGAAGGAATTGCAGCATGGCCAATCCCCCCTGGGGGGTGATTTCTCACTTTCTGTCTCTCTGTCTTTCTGGTGAGCGCACATGCCCTATAGCCAAAGAAAGAAAGAAAGAAAGAAAGAAACCAGAATAGAAAGGAAATGATGAGTGAGTGTGGGAGCTACTATTTTACATTGGGTGATTGAAAAGGGCCACTGTGATGAGCAGCGAGCTCTGCAATAGGGGAAGGAGCCATGCAACTGAAGAAAGAGGAACCTTTCCACATGGGCAGAGGCCCTAATGTCCCAGCCTGATTGTCCTGTTTAAGGAACAGCAAAGAGGTTCATTTGCCTGAAGATGAGTATGTATGTGTGGTAGGAGATTTTGTTAAGTGTAGCATATGAGAAGCTGGGTCATGTGAGTGCCTTGAAGGCTAGGATGAGAACTTAAGATTTACTCTTGTGTGCTTTGGAAGTCTATATACATATTCCTTTGATTGTATCATATACTGTCTTGCCTGTGAATACTTATTTGGATGTTGATTTTTCTTTTTTTAAATTTTTATTTATTCATTCATTTTATTTTAATTTGCCCCGGGGTTGGGGGGGGAGTGAGAAAGCAAGCCGCCAGGTCCTGGACTCGAACTGTGGTTGGCCATGTGGGATTGTCCAGCACCTGCTGGTCCCTGGACATTGATTTTTCTTTAAAAACAAAAAGTTAATAATTGTGACACAGAGCTTTTCTAAATGAGGCATAATTCAGGTTGATACATGCCACATCTTTGATCAGTTTATGAGCAACTAATTTAAAAAGTAGACTTTTTTTTCTTTTTGAACTTAGATCAAGTATAGAAACCTTCATAGTTTAAAAGGTCAATAGGAAAATCTTATCATCATCACTCAGAAATGATTTGCCTTTTACACACACACACCCCATTCAGCAATCCCCAGTTATTCACTGCCCCTCATAAATGTACACACGCACACACATACCAATAATAGTAAGCCCTTATTGTTTTACTCTGTAAGTTTTGCTTCTCAGAGCTAAGAGATCATGCGTAAGGTAGACTGGAAGGTCTTCCGATGCTCAGATTTGGCTAGTTTCATCATTGATCCACTCCGGTTAGAGTAGATCTCAGATTTTTCTTTTTTTTTTATTTTTTTAGAGAAAGAGATGTTTGCTATAAAGTGTGTGTGCTCACCAGAGAAATAGAGACAGAAAGTGAGAAATTACCACCACCACCACCCCCCAGGAGTGATCGCCACACCACAATCCTTTCTCTTCCATTCTCCTCTTGGGACTTTGGGCACATGTGCCTGGCGTGAGTTTCAAACTGTTGGGAATCAAACAGCAGTGGGCTATATGGGAGTTCAGCACCTTAACCACTACACCACCTGCTGACCCCAAAAGTAAGACTTTGGAAAAGTTATTCTTTTATATCTGACAAAACTAGAAGTTTAGAAGTTATTAAGGATTTGTAGATAGTTCATTTTCCTCTTTTTGCTTCTGTATTTGTCTTAGCCTGCCTACTCATTATATAGAAGTTTAGTGTTATGATAATTTCTTATACAGACTTAAAGGTCAGAAAAATAATTAGAAACCATTCCTTCTCTTTGAAAAACGTGTGCAATGTTATAAATGTGCTATTTTCTCTCCTTTTTTTTTCCTACTTTAGGGAACTGCTCGCAGAAAGAAGAAGGTGGTTCATAGAACAGCTACAGCAGATGATAAGAAACTTCAGTTCTCCTTAAAGAAGTTAGGGGTAAACAATATCTCTGGTATTGAAGAGGTAGGTGTTAAATTTTCTTTAAAAAAAAAGACTTGATGGACTTAGTTTTAATGTTCATGTAATAAATGCTGTTTTGATTCTACTTCCAAAGTATTTCATGTCCCACCAGACTTTAAAGTTTATAAGACATATTTCTACCCTGTTAATGAATATCAGGGAGATTGCAACGTCTGAAAACTGTTAGGTTATACATTTGCTTCCAGGCAAAATTTCACCATGCTTCACTGTGAAATGCCAGATTAGTTAGTTTAGACTTAAGTTTGTGTTTAATAAATACATTTTTTAAGAATTATTCAACTTTATTTTAGTTTATTTATTAAAAAATTTGACCAGAGAGGAACAGAGAGAGATAGAAAGTGAGAAAGCAAGACACCAGGTCCAGGGCTTGAACCACGGTCGGCCCATGTGGGAGTCTAGAGCCCTTAACCACCGCACCACCCCCTGCCCCAAACATATTTGGTTTTGAAGGGACTTTGGTAAGCATTACTAATTTTAAAAATTTCTTTGTAGGTGAATATGTTTACAAACCAGGGAACAGTGATCCACTTTAACAACCCTAAAGTTCAGGCATCTCTGGCAGCGAATACTTTCACCATTACAGGCCACGCTCAGACAAAGCAGCTGACAGAAATGCTACCCAGTATCTTAAACCAGCTTGGGGCAGACAGTCTGACTAGTTTAAGGAGACTGGCTGAAGCTCTGCCCAAACAATGTAAGTTTCCTTGTAGTAGAGTTACTGGGGGTTACTGGGTGGGGTTACTCTGGTACCAATAATCTGGGACCTCAAGTGGATGTAAATGTGTTTAATTTTTTAAATGCAAATTTTAAATAACACTTATAGTGGATTTTAAACAAGTGCTGTGATCATTAAACTTGATTTAATGTTGGTTTTCTATTAGCTAACTTGCTAGGACCAGAGCCTTAAAAATTGTACCTTTTAGTAGCTAGAAAGTATGAAAATATAATTTGGGGCTTTTCTGATTATCATTTATAGTTTAAATATTTTTAATTATTATTTTTTTAAGTTTGTTCTAGGACAGATGTGACAGAGAAAGTGAGAAAGCAAGCCACTAGGTCCTGGACTTGAACCATGGTCAGCCATGTGGAGTCCAGTGCCCCAACTACCACGCCATCTGCTGGCCTTTTTATATTGGTTTTTGAATATACTGGTGGAAATTACCAAGTTTCTCAATTGTGCCTATCTGTTGGTGGTATTTGTTTTTTTGCCAGAAGGCACATAATGCTTGCCAGAGAGAGAGGGACAGAGAAAGTGAGAAAGCACCTCTGAGGGGAATGGTCACACCATAATCCCTTCTCCGTTTCTCCCTCTCAGGATTTTAGGGAGAAACTGAGAAGGAACATACATGCCTGACCTGTTTTCCAAGCCCCTGGTTCCAGAACTTAAACTACACAGTCAGCCATGTGTGATCCAGCTGGTTTAACCACCTGCCACAGGCTGGCCCCTGTCCTGGTGTTTTTAATTACAGTATGATAAGGATTTTGTTCAGGGCAGAAAATAGTGTAGTCGAATATGTATACATCTGGGGATGTGCCAGTTTTATGCTGAGGCCCCAGGCCCTAGGCTTAAAATTTGAATAGGAATTCAGAGGCAAGGCAGAGGCTTTTCATGGCTTATTTAGTCGTGTGTGTGTGTGTTTATTATTTTATTTAACTATTTATTTAAGTTTGACGGAGTGAGGGAGAGCAAGCGAGCAAGCCAGCCGCCAGGCCCAGGATTCAAACTGTGGTCAGCCATGTGGGAGTCCAGCGCCCCCAACCACCATGCCAACTGCCGTCCCATTAGTTCTCTGTGTTTTTTAGGTGTTGAGTCACTGCCTCAGTTTGTGTTTTTATTGTCACGTTTAGAGGTATAAGAGGTTCTAGATCATCTTATGCTTTCATAACCAAGTAGGCTTTTGAAGTATGTCAGTGATACTCCAGGTGGAGCTAGTGAATGTACAGTTCACATTCTTGTGCAATAAGGGGAAGTGAATGTTTACCACTCAGATACTTTTTTTTAAAATTTTATTTTAGTAAATGTTGAGCATTTCTCTTATGTCATGCACAAACAACAAAGTATCTGCAAAAATTGTCTCTGTTTGCCACCCAACATACACCTTACCCTAATGTGGTATGTGGGTTTTATCTGCACCCTTAGAGCTCCTTACTGCTCTCACTACCTCAGGTCCTATGATGGGCAGAGGGATAAAAGGGTGGGTATGGAATTTGGTTTGTTGGTTGTCATTTGTATAACCCATTATAGACATAGAGTATCATGCTGTTGGTAGTACTGTAGGTGAAATCTCAAGTGTCACTTGTCATCATAAATGTAAGTTATAATAACACTTGGTAGTTCATTAGTTCTTCTTTCAGTTAATGTTTGTTTATGACTTAGATATGTGTGTAATGTTTACATTTCCCTTTCATAGCTGTGGATGGAAAAGCACCACTTGCTACTGGAGAGGATGATGATGATGAAGTTCCAGGTGGGAACCTATACCCATGGCCACCCATAATTAACCTAGAGAATCTTAACAAGGGAGAATAAAGAATTTAAACACTGTGGGAAATTCTACCTTTGCGGGTGTGGGGGAATTAAAGGTGGGGAACGAAGAAACAAATGCAGTGTTGTCTAATGGCAAGTTAAGTTTGTAGACTTGGCTTGTTTCTTTTTGGGATCCCCAAAACATGTAGGTATCTAGTCTGAAATACTGACTACTTACTAAGTGTGTGTATTGTGATATAAATAGAACTACCTACAGACCACAATGACTTGTTTTTACTTTGAAATTCATGAATTTATGTAGAAATGTGGAGAGTTCAGATATCTTGGGATATATAACCATTCTAAAAATGTGTAAAGTAATTCTTTGATAATCATAGCATTTTTTTTCCCTTGTTATCTCTATTGGATAATTTACTTTGTTACAATACAAATATTGACTGGGCAGGATATAATGTTCACTAGACTCATAAATATTTCCACTTTGCATAGGTAGGTGTCCATAGTAACTCAGAAAGCTTCACAGTCACGTGTCATGGCAGTCCTTGGTTCTGCTGTCCCATATTGACCAGCATATTAAATTGTTTAATTTTAGTCCCTAGGTGGAATAGGAAGGCATATACATATTCTCTAAGCATAGTATTTAGTATTTTCTGTGCTTTAAGCAGCAGATAAATGGCTTTGCCTTGTGTTTACTATATGCCAAAACATAGACTTCTGCATGTACCAAATGGATAGAGTTCTTGCTGGAAATAGAGACAGGTTTTAAGTTTATACCTTATATAGACTCTATTTTGAGACTTTCCTTATCTCCTCTTAACACCTGATCATTGTAGATTTGGCTTTTCTTCAGAATTTCTTTCTTTCTTTCTTCTAGATCTCGTGGAGAATTTTGATGAGGCTTCCAAGAATGAGGCAAACTGAATTGAGTCAACTTCTGACAGGGATAAACTTGACGAAGTTACTGGGAGCTGCTATTTTATATTATGACTGCTTTTTAAAATTCTGTTTTGTTTATGGATCTGATAAAATCTAGATCTCTAATATTTTTAAGCCTAAGCCCCTTGGACACTGCAGCTCTTTTCAGTTTTTGCTTATACGCAGTTCATTCTTTGCAGCTAATTAAGCTGAAGAAGCCTGGGAATAAAGTTTGGAACAAAGGTTAATAAAGTTCTTTGCCTAGTATGTGGTTTTATTTTTTTTTATTTCTTTGATGCTGATAATGTTCCACAGTAAGCTGTTTATGGAAAGCTAATCATGGTATATAATGTGGCTGCTAACCTTGGCTGGAAAGATTTAAAATCAGAATATAGTGTAATAAAGATAGTATAAAGGTCTAATGTTTGAAAACTTTTCTCCCACAGTCCTCAGGGCTTCCGTGGTTGATATACTGGGTGTAAATACAAGATGAGGATAGAGTATTTCTCAGTAGGTAACAAAGGGACTTTTTTTTCTCAATACTGCCTTTATTGTAAACATGCATTAAATACCTTGTATATATTAATCAGTTTTATTTTCATTTAATCTTGAGTTTATGAAGTCAATAGAGATTAGTAAAGTCTATGTAGGTGTAACTTGAGGTCTCAAACTTCAAAAAAATGTAATTATATCCAAATCATTTTTTATAGTATAGTTTATAAAGTGACTGGGGAAAAGGTAACATTTGTAGTAAGAATGTCTCCTTTGTCTTCCTTGAGTGGTAACACTATAAATGAATAGAACTGTTGGTTTCTCTCTCTCTCTCTCTCTTTTTTTTTTTTTTTTTTTTTTGGTGTATGTTAAGATACAAGAAAATTGAGTGTCTGTACACAGTTGTAAGAAGTGTAACATGTAACTGTCACTGTAATCAGGATATTGAACAGTTACATCACCCTAGAAGAATCCCTCAATACAGGGTTACTTAAAAAAATTATATTGGCAGTCAGTCATATTGAGGTAGCTGTAACTTTTAAGAATTTACAAATTGTGGGACCAGCAGATGGCGTAAAGGCTATGTTGCTGGACTCCCATATAGTCGACCATGGTTCGAGTCCCAGACCCAGTGGCTTAAATTCACGTTGGGCGTGTGTGCATGCGTGCCCAAGATCCCAAGAGGAGAATGGAGGAGAAGGGATTGCAGCGTGATCATCCCCCCTCGGGGGTGATTTCTTGCTTTCTGTCTCTGTCTTTCTGGCAAGTGCACATGCCCTATAGCAAAAAACCTCCTCCCCCCCAAAAAATGACAAATTGTAATTGAAGCAATTATATCCTCTCTGCTTCAAGGTCAATGGTGGAAGATTTTATTTTCTACTTAGTAAGATTTTATTTTAGGGGGCCAGCAGGTAGCCCAATGGTTTAGGTACTAGTCTCCCAACATAGCTAGCTGTGGTTCAAGTCCTGGACCAAGCAGCTTGCTTTCTCACTTCTTTTTCTCTTGTCTTTCTCCAGTCAAACACACACACATAGAATGTTTTTCAGGGTGCTGGGGTCAGGATTTAAACCAGTCGTGTGAGATACAGCTACCTTAATCTCTCTGCTACATTCAGCCCTTGGAAGTACATGTTAAAAGTACTAATACACCTATCTAGTCACTATTGGGCCCACCAGTGGCGTGGTGGTTGAGGTGGCTAGATCCCACATGGCTGACTGCAGTTTAAGTTCCAGATCTGGTGGCTTAAAAAATATGCTGGTTGTGTATATGTGTGTGTGTGTGCCTAAAATCCCAAGAAAAGAATGGAGGAGAGGGTATTGTGGTGTGGCCATCCATCCCCCTTGTGGAGGTGCTTGCTTGCTTCTCTCCAGCAAGCACATGTGTGCTATAACTAATTTTAAATGAAGTGCTGTGTAAACAGTATTTGCTTATATGTACATTGTTTTTCCTCTGTGTATATCAGGCCTGTTGAAGTGCAGTGCTACAGTAACAAGGACTTTGAAATCTAGATGGTTAACAAAATTACTGTTTGCAGACTGCCAAGGGCAAGTTGGGTTTTGCTACATAGTTACTCTGAGGTCCACACCCATGGTGCAACCCTTATCTTGGACTCTCCAGCTTCCTGGCAGGGAAGAGCACAATTCAAATGCTGGTTCTTAAAAGCTGTTACCATCACTTCTTACATATAACTGACCAAAGAGGTGGACTGTTTAAGCTGGAGGGCAGTGAAATGGGAAAGTCCGGAGTAGGGCCTGAAGATTTGCATTTCTGGCAAAATGCCAGGTGTTGCTGCTGCTAGTCCACAGTCCATGCTTTGAGTAGCATGGAGAAAAACATTGTCAACTGATCCCCAAGGGTGTTGGATCATGACAGACAGGCTGACAAGCTTGTAGAGACCCCTCTATCTGAGCCAATCCAGTCTTCGGACTAAGATCTATAGGAAAGGGACTAAATAGTGAAATGCAATAGATTTCCAGGAGATGCCTATCCCAGGGCAACTTGCTTATTGTGTAGACGTTGGTTTGAGCTTAAGCCTACATGCCCATACTAAGAGAACTTTCCCCAATAATTTCCAAATACTTTCATTGTTTAAGTGATAAGTAAGCTATGTGTTGGTGGCTATGAATTAAATGTTTTTCTCATAATCTCCACTATCAAGATAGGCAGGGTTATCCTATAGTTACAAGTGACCAAATGTTTCTGTTGCTAGAACTAAAGTTGTCACACTTAATGTTTGTGGTCTGCCCATGGTTAGGCTCTGCTTTACTCCAGGAGCATCCCCTACCTGGAACACTGACAGCCTCGGGACAGAAAAGGTGAACAACCAGCTGGCTCGTTAATGTGAGCTGGGAAGTGGCCCACCTGGTAAGCGATTGAATTTCAGCAGCCAGAGCAAGTCAAATGTGTAGGCAAGTCAGGTGCGCTTGGGATTGGGGAAACAGATATTTTTGAATAATAATACAATTACCATATCCTTGCAATTTTTCTATCCAATTCCTTATGTTAAAGGACTCCACCACTTGTTTTCTGTCTGAACTGTATTACAAAGCAGTCCTCAAATACAGCAACATTGTAGAGTTGAGGAAACCATCTTCAAGAGGTGAAATTGTTCCACGTCCCACAGTTTGAGTAGAGGATGAGATTCAAACCCAGGTCTGCTTTTCTAAGCTCATTACCTGCTGCAAAGAATTTTAGGCTCTGGCAGACTAGAGGGACAGATAGTTCTGATCTGGTTGGTAATTTTTTGACTGTTGTTCACTACTTTTAAGACTAGTTCTGGACTAAAGTAGTTTTCAGCTGGGTGTGAATCAGGGCTTCACTAACAGAGGCAGATACCCATTTTACCTGAGAGCTCCTGCTGGAGTACACTGTATCATCTCTGTAATAATCCTGTGGTGCACAGGGCAGAAGGCTATGTTCTAAAATTGGAGATAGCTTAAGAAATGGGCCGAAGATAGTTAAAAGTTGGGTCTGATTTCTACTAATTTTTTTTTCTTCATTAACATTGGAGTCATACATAAGTAACTCTTTCCTCCCTCCACCCCAGTAAGATGTGTCTTTTTTTTTTTTTTTTGAGAGAAGTCTTACAGCAACTAGTAACAATTTTTAGCTTTCCCAAACTCATGATTAGAAAAGTCTTCTATTCACACTAGTTTTCATCACTCCAATCAGCACAGTCTCGAATTCCACTTCGCAGTGAGTTCTGGAAATGCAGTCACTATTGGCAAAGAAAACTGTCACATCTCCAACCTGACTGAACACAGGGAATTGTAAAACTAGACAACTTTATTTCTAAAACCATAACTTAAAATGTCAAGGTGGACTGGAAAAGATGCTATTGGGAAAGAAAGAGTCCTTTGGATCTTAAGAATAATAGCAAAAAATGGCCCAACAGGAAAATTGTAGATGTTTTAAAGATTCTACATGTTTGGAAAGAATTTGTTCTTTGAAAAGCCCAGAAGAATACTACCTCTCCCTATCAGCCTAAACATAAACATACTGACATATTACATAAACATAGAAGGCCCATGTGTGTTTGTATGTTCAGTAATCAGAAGAGAGAGTCAGTATTTGTTAGTTGGCAGCTAGCAAGAACAAAAGGGCCTCTGTACTTTCAACCTTTTGTAGTCAAAACTTCGTTACCTACAACACCAAGGAAGCTTTTCTATTTCTACCCTCCATAACCAGACAAAAGAAAGTTATCTATCTAGTGTAGTTGGACTGTATTTCTGATGTGGTCTTTTTTTTTTTTTTAAGTTTATATTTCGGGAGAGAGGAGGGAGAAAAAGGGCACTCTCGGGTTCTCAGGCTTCAATCTCACCAGCCCTCGCAGGTAGGCAGGGTCATGAGCACGCGTGCACACACCTGGCATGTACAGGTGACCCAGCACCAAACCCTGATCTTCCGTGAGTCCAGGTCAGAGCAGAGCATTACCGCTGTGCCACCGTGGCTGGCCCTCTGATAAGTCTCCTATAGTGATAGAGGCCATGAGGCTTTAGTTTGGTATCTATTACCACCGGTTTAGAATAATTCAAGCTTGGGGCCAGTGATGGTGTGCTAGTTACAGTGCTGGACTTTCACACGGTCAACCACGGTTCAGGTCCTGGACCTAGGGGCTTGAAACTCACCTAGGGTGTGTGTGTCTATGTCCAAAATCCAGGAGGAAAATGGAGGAGAAGGGATTGTGGTGTCGCCATGCCCCCAGTGGGGTGATTTCTCAGTGTGTCTTTGTCTCCTCTCTAGTAACCAACCGTGCCCTATGGCAAAAACCTGAAAAGAAAAAAAAAAAAAAAAAGAATTCAGGCTCGTCAGATCACCAGGGTGCTGCTCAGTGTTAAACCATCAGAGGAAACAGGATGGGAGCAAGGAAATGCCACAGGTTGAAAATAATTTGGGGGCCATAACATTCAACGGACTTCTGTGATCTTTACCAAAATTTCCAAAGAATTTGATCACAGATAAGAGCTATCCATCAAGATTATTTCCTTTGCTAATCCTTGCAAAACTGGCTTTATTTACTTTTAACCAGAGAACTCACCCACTTCACGTATGCACAAACTACTGGAAATGATAGACTTGCATAGTTGTGGAGGTAACTATCCCTAAGGAAGATCTGTGTTTATATCATTGAAGTGTAAGGGCAGCCACTCCAAAAACTCATTACAAAATCAAAATCAATGACATGTTTTCATTTTTACTTGATTTTTCTGTACAGTTGCTGTGGCATGTCATGCGCCTTGTCCACAAATGTCCAAGTCTTCTGGTTAGAACAATT